GTTTCGGGCCTAGACCCATTTCTGAAGAAGGGTCTAGGCCCGAAACGTCAGCCTTCCTGTTCCTCTGATGCTGCTTAGCCTGCTGTGTTCATGGGATCAGTCCAGTTCTTTTCCCCTGCATTCATTCATGTACATTGTCATCTTAATGGCAAGTTATGTAAAACTGAAAAGGATACAATTGACTCCTCTTAATTTTACATTGTTAAGTTTGTTTTAAGGATAACGTTTTTCAGTGAAGAATCTATTTTGAGTGAACAATCTACTCCTAATTCAAAGATGCTGTTATGTTATTTTTACTTAATATAAAATAACAACTTATGTTTGATATTAGGTCATAAGCTGACTTTGTTTTGATTCCATTCCATTTCAACGAAAGTGCAAGATCTTTTGTACCCATTTCTCCATCCCCTACACAATCACCCCATCTACATTCGGTCTCAAAATATAATGTCATGAGTAGTGAATACTGTGTGTATCTTGAGAGATTTAGTTCAAATCCTGCTATGGCAGTTGAGGAATTTCATTTTTATTTGAAATTACAGATTCTTTAATTAAGCTATCAGTAATGGTGATCATTCAACTGCTGGATTACCATAAAAGACCATTTTCTCTACTGATGCCATTTTGTGAAGGAAAAATATTGTCCTGATCCAGTCTAGCTTAAATGTGGCTCCGGACCCACAGTGATGACCCACAATGGTTGACTCTTACTTGCCCTTTGAAATGGCCTAACAAGCTACTCAGTTCACAATCAGTGAAGAAATATGGCTTTGCCAGTTATGCCCATATTTCACAATTTTTTTTTAATGTCTAAATTGAAAGAAGTAGAAGTAATTGGGTGCCATTTGGAAATGGTGTTTTGGAGCTTTGGATGACTGGAAGGGAGATGTGAAATGACAGATGATGCATCTCCTGCACTTGCACAATGAAGTGCCATGGGAAGGGCGAGGTATAAAGAGTGATGATATTGATTTGGACAGAACAGATCCTTTGAATTGCTGAAATGGAATGGGAGGGGATGATGTGTTGGGATGATGGCTTTATGCTGGAGATTGTCAAAATGGTGGAGGATCATCTGTTCAGTGAAGGCTGGTGGTATCTAGGACGTGGATAAAGTGGACACTTTATTCAGATTCTGGGTGGGGTTGAAGGGAATGAGGTGAAGGTAAAAATGTGTGAAATGAGACAGGCATGATTGAGGGCCCAGTCAACTATGGTACAAAGAATTGTTTTGTAAGACATCTATTACATTTACAAGCTCAACCCTGAATTTCTAAATGCAATGCCATTTTAACTTTTCGTCCCATCTCATTTTGGCCCCTTGTACCATTCCATTAAAGATTAAAGGGTGTACTTTCTTTTTGATTATGTAGTTTACAGTATTCTAGAGTCAACAAAATTCAACACTTCCAGGTCACAATCACTGCTTCCCTTTTTGGGGAGAGCAGGTGCGGGCAGTGGTTCTGCAATTGCCATTTATAGGTCCTTTCAAATTGTTGTTCCTTAATTTGTCCCATCACCACCACCTTTGTCTTACGGCATCTTCCCTTGGCTATATTAGAGACATTCCCGCTTGTCCTTTCCTGGCACTGGCTGCAGTTATGTGTCTCTGAATATGTATGAACACTTTTGTTTCTCTAACTTCTTGCAGCAGTTCTGAGGAAAGACTGCTGACCTGACACACTCCTGCTTGCACAAATGTTGCTTGGCTGCTGAGGGTGTGAAACACTGTAATGGAGACTCATTCTAAATTATTTAACTTCTAGAAGCAGTGGTACTTTAAACTGAGACAAACTAACATAGAATTGAGTAAAGTAGAAGATGATACATAAAACAATATTCGGATCCCATTTAGATGCATCCCTCCCCTTTGGATATACCACCTCACCTTTGCAAAGAAATCTATTTGAGTCAAATGGCCAGATACCAGGTCACGTCAATGATTTTCGATTTGCCTTTGGGTTCAATTCCTAATTCTTACCCATGCAGATACGTTATCTAATCAGTCTAATATACTGGGATACAGCCCCTTAACAAGAAACAGTTTCCAAACCTTGGTATCTGAGATATGATAAATGATGCCCTATGAAAGATAGCCACTCGCCCTCCGAAACCGCCACGTACACAAAGTGGGTCGAGTTGTGGATAGTGTGGAGGGCTGTTTGAGGTTACAAAGGGACATTGATAGGATGCAGAGCTGGGCTGAGAAGTGGCAGATGGTGTTTAACCCTGAAAAGTGTGAGGTGATTCATTTTGGAAGGACAAACTTGAAAGCAGAATACAGGGTTAACAGAAAGATTCTTGGCAGTGTGGAGGAGTTTAGGGATCTTGCGGTTCATGTCCAAAGTTCCCTGAAAGCTGCCACCCAGGTGGATAGAGTTGTTAAGATGGTGTATGGTGTGTAAGCTTTCATTGATAGAGGGATTGAGTTCAAGAGCCATGAGGTTATGCTCCAGCTATACAAAACCCTGGTTCGGCCTCATCTGGAGTATTGTGTCCAGTTCTGGTTGCCTCATTACAGGAAAGATGTGGAAGCGTTGGAAAAGATGCAGAGGAGATTTACCAGGATGTTGCCTGGAATGGAGGGAAGGCCATACGAGGAAAGGTTGAGAGAGCTAGGGCTTTTCTCTTTAGAACAACGAAAGATGAGAGGTGACTTGATAGAGGTGGACAAAATGATCAGAAGTATAGATAGAGTGGACAGCCAGAGACTGTCTAGGGTGGAGGAAGCTACTATCAGGGGGCATAGTTTTAAAGGGAGTGGAGGTAGATATAGGGGAGACGTCAGAGGTAGGTTCTTTACTGGGAGAGTGGTCGGGGCGTGGAATGCATTGCCAGAGAGGGCAGTGAAGTCGGACTCATTAGGGGCATTTAAGCGGCTATTAGATAGGCATATGAATGATAGTATAAGGTAGGGGTGGAGGTTAGATAGACCTTAGGTTTAGGGTAAAAGTTCGGCACAACATTGTGGGCCGAAGGGCCTGTACTGTGCTGTACTGTTCTATGTTCTATGTACCATCTCCCGGAGGAGTACTGGCCAACCGCGAGCGGTCTACTGACAGTCTAAGAAACGGTCCAATTCCCATAAAATTAGACCCCGACCCCACAATCGACGTTGAGGAAAACAGGGGAATTCCATTTGTGTGTCGCAGTGTAACTTCCTTCTTCCCGTGACACAAACCCCTGTTGAAATGAACTTGCCTGCTTCAGGGAACTCCTGGGGATGATTCACGCAGAGTCTCTTCGTCATCATTACCCCAGGCTTGTTTAAAAGGACAAGCCGTGCTAGAAGGAATCCCAGAGGATGATACGAGTCCACATGCTCCCCAACATGCTTTACAAGGTAAGTGGATAAACAGGAATGAATGGACTCCGCTAAGATGGAACTTATTCGTTAATTAACATAGAAGCAAAGTACTGCCGATGTTGGAAATTTAACTTTTTCCAAACAGAGCAATGCTGGAAGTACTGATAGATTAAGTGTTAGTAACGCTGTTTGTGGGCGTAGAAAGAGTGATTAAAATTTGCAGCGTGAACTCTGTTCGTATACCATATCCATGTGTATTATCAGCATTTCTTGCCCTTAATGGTCAGTATTCTTGCTGGTTAATGTGAGAGCAAATTACTGCAAAGGCTCTGATGAAGAGTCATCTCGACTCGAAACGGTTAGCTTTCTGTCTCACCATAAATGCTGCCCGACCCGCTGTGGTTTCCAGCATTTTGTGGTTAATATGAGAACCTAACTGCATTTCATAATTTTAAAACGAGTATTTCTGCTAGAGAGGTCTTTTGGACCACTGGGTGGTCTCTCTGCCTCTGAGTCAGAAACTCCAAGTCTCATTGGTGGACCTGATGGCCAAAGGAAGAGCACTCATAATGAGGCTAAACAGGTGAATGCTAACCTGCAACTCCTTCCAATATACTGCCAACGGTAGGTGGATAGAGTGGGAGAGATTCCTGGTCTCACATGCTGAGTATTTGGACTCCCAAATAGATGTATCCCTCTCATTTGGATATGCTTCCTTTCCTTTGCAAAGAAATCTATTTCAGCCAAATGGCCAGGACAGGTCATTGATTTTCAATTTGGCTTTGGTTCAATTCCTAAATAAAATGCTCACACATCCAGATAACTTATCAGTTTCTGCTGGTTCTGTCTAGTCTAATACATTTCTATGCAGTTAGAAGCCAGGTTACAAAGATTCACTGAAAACCTAAATGAAATTCCTTGAACATAGCCAGACGTGTTGAAGTGAGAGGGTTTGAATAAATGGTTTAATTTTTTTACAAAGTAAATTCTAATGCATGATGTTTCTCATATTTATCATTGACCGAATTTGCCTTCTTAAAGCGTTTTGGGCTTTTTCTAGTTACCTACACCTAGAATGAGCATTTTATGCAAATTTATTTCTGATGTGATGGACTGAATGATAATGTTGAACTATTTATATCACATTTAATTCTTTACTTGATTCCAATTCCTCCAACAGTGTCTCATCAGCATTGTACTAATAGAAAAGGTTTCAAGCTTATTTGTAACAGTGAACACCAAGCCTACTTATCAAAGAAGAGATCCAATTACTGGTCAGATGGTGACATGCGAACAGTGTCCCCCCGGGACATTTGTGAAAACTCAATGTACTAGTGAGCATCCAACAATATGTGCATCCTGCCCAGATTTGCATTATACTCAGTATTGGAACTACCTTCAGAAATGTCGTTATTGTAATGTCTTCTGTGGACATCACCAGTATGAAAAGCACCAGTGTAATTCTACACATAACAGAGTGTGTGAATGCAAAGCAGGCTATTATTTGGAATTTGAATTCTGCCTGAAACACTCTAGCTGCCCTTACGGTGCTGGTGTAATTAAAATGGGTAAGACTAATGTTTCTTTTATTAGAACTTATATTTATCCATCTGTTGCTTGCCTATATATTATGGTGTATTTCTCAGACAGTATGATTCCTTTATTTTTGTGCACAAATGTCTATTTATAGAATATGCTATATTATAACTTGGTAGGATTACAACTTTCCATTAGAATATGTGATTATTTAGCCTAGGAATTTTTCATTTAAGTTGTTATTTAGTCTTTTAATACTTTACTTTTTCATGGGATATGGCACCACTGGCAACATCAATACTTGTTGCTCATCCCTAACTGCCCTTGAGAAGGTGATGGTATACAACTTGAGTGGCTTGCTTGGCTAATTGAAAGGCCACTTGTTAGTCAACTACATTTGTGTTGGAGTCACATTTAAGGTCAGACTAGTTAAGGATAGCAGATTTCCTTCCCAAATGGACATTAGCAACGAGATGGGTTTTACTGCAATTGATAATAATTTCATGGTCACCATTACTGAGACTAGCATTATATTACAGATTTATTTATAAAATTTAAACTCAGTTAGCCGCTGTGGATCTCATGGCCCTCAGAACATTAACCTGGGCTTCAGCATTACTAGTCCAGTGGCATTACCTCTATGTCACATTCTCCCCACGTTTGCTGAAATTTATTTTTTAACCAATTAACCTTTACACCTTCCAGGCCAGTGAAATAATGAAGGACCAAACCCCAATTTCCAATCTTGTCTTCTGTTGACCATCCTTACCCAAAGTGTAATCACAACAGGATAAAAACAAAATTTAAAATAAATGCAAAGCAAGACGTAGTATTTAATTATACTTGTTAATCAGCAAGGAAACTAAATACGAGTCCCCTGAATTCTTCCAGTATGATTGGACAAACAAAATGGTTATTTGGAGTAAAGTCTGATGTAAATCAGTATAAACAAAAGTTGGACCAATCTATAATATGATGTAGGTTTGGAAACTCAATATGATACTTTTCGCCCAAGTACTTGGGTAGTGTGACCAGAAAGTCTTGGGCTATCCAAATAGATAAACTTACTGAATACTTCGTGGGCAATTTAAAATCCTTAAATGGTAGAATGCAATCATTAATTTCACACATAAATTTATCTTTTTATGATTTAGTAAACTGGGTTTTATATTCACACTAGAGTCTTTCATATCTTTTTGTTTTGCCTAGTGTAGCAACCCAAAAGACCATAAATTGGTTTCTCTTATCAGTTCTGAGCTCCATGTATTGCAAAATGTAATGCATGCTGCATTATATGTAACAATGTAATTGGTTGTTTACTGAAAATTTAACAGAAAATGTGAATTTATTTTTTTTTCAGGAACACCATACAGTAACACAAATTGTGAACAGTGTACTGATGGCCATTTTTCTGCCAGCGTGTCCAATTCAGAACCTTGTTTAGCGCATACAAACTGCACTGAAAAAGGCTTAGCGGTCAACATCGCAGGTAATCAATACCATGACACGCTGTGTACTCCTTGCAAAACATATCATGGCAGCAAAACTTTGGTCAATGATTCAGGTGAGTAAAATAATCAACTTTAATGGAATATTGCTTTAACAACTGTGTTGTGTGACACATTTTGCTGTTAGTTGGGTGACAACAATTTGGTATTTAGACAAGAAACCCAACCTAAATTCTTCAGAAGATGCATAGCAAGAATAAAGTTGCAGGAAGACACCAAGAAGAGTCTATATGCCTCCCTATATAGAGGGGAAGCTAGATTGGGAGTTCTCCATTGGGCTACTTTGGTTGTTCAGCCAGCAGTGCAAGTCCCAACATGCAATTATATTGAACAGCTGGATTTCATGATCAGCACTATTTTAATGCTGGTGGCTTATTTTAAAAATGGTTTAAATCTTCTGGTATTAAAAAAGACTTACATTTGTATAGTGCCTTTTCAGACCCTGGTCATCCCAAATATTTACAATGAAGTTATTTTGAGATGGTGTATATAGTAGTCAACTTGCATGCAGCAAACTGCCAAAAATGGTATTTAAATAATGACAAGGTAATTTACTTGAGTGATATTGGTTGAGGGATTTAATATTGGCTCGGGCACTGGGGAGTGAAGATAATTTCCTTATTCTACTTTGAAAGTGTGTCATGAGAATTTCCTTTCCACCTGAGAGGGCACACAGGCATCTTTATTTATCATCTCAAGTAGCACCCCCTCACCATTACACTGAACTGTCATCCTGAATATTCCTATATCTTCAGGAGTGGGATTTGAATCCACAGTCCTCTGAATTATAGGCAACAGTGGTACCAACTGAGCTACAGCAATTTGATTTTTAAAAATGTATTCTTTCATGTTATGGGCATTGCTGGTCAGGACAGCATTTATTACTCATTTTTAATTCCCTTGAGAAGTTGGTTTGAGCCACCTTGAACTGCTGCAGTCCATGTGGCTATCTTATGAAGTTCTAAAGGAGGGTTACTGGACCTGAAACATTAGCTTGCTTTCCTTCCACAGATGCTACCAGATCTGCTGAGTTTCTCCAGCAATTTCTTCTTTTGTTTCAGATTTCCAGCATCCGTAGTTCTTGTTTTTGCCTTTTTTTCCCTTGTACCCAAAAAGACATTAATAATTTCATTTATCTCCGAAAGTTATTTTAGTCATTTCACGTGAGAATCATTTCACCACTCATATATGATGCATGATATTAGAAACTGTTCACCTGCATAAGCCTTCAATTTATAAAGCTCAGGGCAAGATTCAGTCAGAATCTTTCCTTGAACTTTCAATGCATTTTTTGCAGAGAAAGAAAATAATCAGAAAATCAGAAGGTAGCTTGTTGTGACTATAAATATCTGAATAGTTATATCCAAATCCTTCAACTGAATGCTAAATGCCAATGGTGCTTTTAGTAAAATGCTACATTTTAATTTTCTTTCTTTCTTTCTTTCTTTCTTTTAACAGTTGTTTCAACCTGTAATGAAGCAATTATTGAGTTTGTGGCATATCAAAAGATTCCACTCAAGAAATTGAAACGATTTCTTACTTTACTCCAGATTGAGGAGGCAAAGAAAGTTAGTAAACAATTGAGAGCACAGAATAAACATATGATGCATCAAAGTTTACATCCCCTTCTGGTGAAATGGAAAGAAGTTGTCATGGAAAACGACCTCCTTGAAAAAATCTTGCATATACTTAAAAAAGCAAAGATGAAGAATGTTATAAAAAATATCCAAGAACGTTTTATGTTAAATATGGTAACTCCACTCAAATGTATTAATTGAGACTGAATGACTACACAGTCTCACTAAACCCTAGAGACAAGGCAGCTCCAAATTGTGTTCCATGTTTGTGCTGAGTTAACTGGTCTTAGCTGGAGCAGCACTTGGTGTTGCAATTCATTGACTTGGGCATTTCTGCAGTGTATATGGGAAAAATTAGCATGGGTCCCCATTCCTGATAGACCCTCGCCGGCCCCCTCCTCTGACAACCAAACAGTGTCCGTGTAAAGTATTTGAATTGTTTTGGGCCTCAACACCCATTGCAATCAAAACGAATTAACCCTTCAATGAGATAGTAAATTGTATCATATCTGTGCAACTATATGCCAGCCATTATTTGGTCATTAAAAGTAAAGAAGAGAAATTTGAGGGGGCTATGCAAACAGCTAAGATAATATGGTGCCAAATCTGTGTCCTATTTGACTCTGAGCTGAGTTTCCAACCCCATACACATTTAGTAGCTAAGACTGCCTATTTCTACCTCTGTCTCAACACAACTACTGACCAAGCCTTCATTCAGGCCTTTATTCCAAAGACCTGCTGCCTAGCCTCCCATATTTTATTTATTCAAGTGACAAAAACATTGGTAACAAGTGGCATGAAAATCGAGCAGGAAATTGAGGAATAAAACTACCTGATAGACTAATGGAAGCAGTAACAATTGGCTAAACACTTCAGAGGAAAATATTGAAAAGGCTGCAGAGAACGAGTACAAGAATTGGATAAACTGGATAGCTTTGCCATTTTCTGGCTTAGACTTAGGTGAATAGGCCTTCTTTGAAAATTTCTATAATTATTTGCATAAATTAGGACTCTGAATAAACGCCATTAATATATTGTTTCATAATGCAAAAATAACATTTCTGAAAAGCATAAACTGTCCAGATTATATATGTAAATGACTACACAGTATTGTATATTTTCACAAACCACATTGTAATATAAGATTTGATAAATTACAATTGGATGTTTATTTTTCTACTGACTTTTTTTAGAGGTAAAGCTCTTAAAGTTTGATAGTAATGAGCATCGATAGCTATTGTATCAGTCAAAATTTGAATCTTCATATATTCAGTCTGTTATTTACAAAATCAATTTTCAAATTTATGTCCTATTTTTTCATCTTTCAGTTCTGTAACATCTCATTTTGTATAGTACATTGCTCAGCATTCTTTAAACTAGCTAATGTGTTTTAAAATGCCAAGCAATTGGCATGTATTAGAAATCCTGGAAGGATTGTATGTTTAAGTTACCATTATAACTCCAGTGAAGGTGGAGAGGAAATGACCATGGAAAAATCCACTCCTATTCCAAGTTCTAGAGGCAAACTAATAAATTAGAGAAAAGAAATAACTTCTAACTTATGTAAAATCTAATCACAACACAGGTGATTCAAAGCACAAATAAACTACTTGTTTTTAAATAAAAATGTAGTCAGTTTTGATTGTACTAAAGAGAAACATATGTTGGACTTCAGTATACTTTCAATATACATATTTGAGTTTCATCTCAATAAATCCAGGAGTTATGTGAGCACAGGGAGATAAATGTGTGTGTTGATTGGTTGGGAACCGGATGAAACACCTGAGAGGAGAAGTAGGTATACTGAAGATTAAGAAATACAAAGGGCTGAATTTTACACATAGGTCAAGATCCTGCTACTGGAACCAGGAACAGGGGCTGTTGGCATCTGCAAACAGTGGGGTAATGTTGCAACTACATCAGAGCTGGACACTTAGCTGGCTTAAGGCAGAGGAATAGGCAGCATTAAATCATGCAAAGGGAAGTTGCTGAAGCATATTTACATCATGTGTGGCACTAAATGGGACAGACATTTTTAACAGATCTAGCAATTCAAGACTGGTCATCTATATGGTGCTGTGTGCAACTAGCAGCAGCAGCAACAGAATTGTACCCCATCACAATCTGAAACCTCATGGCCTGGCATGTCCCCCACTCTACTATTACCATCAATCTTAGTTCAAAGAAGAGTGATGGAGGTCATTGGCAGGGGCTGCACCAAGCCAATCTGGTGAAGCTACAAAACAGAACTATTTGTGTGCAAACAGCATACGCAGCAAGTGATAGAATTAAGTGATTCCAGAACCAACAGATCAGATCTAAGTTCTGCAGTCTTGCCACATCCAGTTGTGAATAGTAGTGGACAATTGAACAATTCACTGGAAAAGGCAGTTCCACAACATCCCCATCCTCTGATGGGGGAGCCCAGTGCAAAAAATAAGGCTGAGACATTTGCAACAACTCCAGCCAGAAGTGCCAAGTGAATGGTCTATTTCAACCGCCAGCAATTTCTGTTTTTGATTCAGATATCCAGCATTTGCAGTTCTTTGATTTTGGTTTAGCACTTGTAGAAAGATGGTTGCACTCCTGTTTACAGATATATAGGCAGATAAAGAATGGGTGATAGTCCAAAATAACTAGGCAGGTAGTTCAGGAGTCCCCTGAAAGGATCTTGTTCACAAAGTGGTTTACACTTTGCATAATAGTATGGCAATGATTTCTTGTAAAAACACTGTCAGATCCAAATCAGTAGCACCAAGTGTGGAGGTGGAAAGGAGGAAGAATGGAAGAACAGCACTGAAAGGAATATTTTTTAGCCAGACCTTTGACTTGGAGAAAGTGAGATGAATTAAAGAAGTTGTTCAAAGTAGGAATAAGCTCAGCTGGATGAAGGAGTATGGTTACTGCATGGGTCCCAATTACATCTGTCTCTTTTTGGGTATGTGGACATTCCTTGTTCCAGTCCTACTTGAGACCCCACCCTCAACTCTTTCCCCAGTAGACTGATATCATTGGCGTTGCTTCCTGCTCTTGCCAGGAATTGAAAAAAGTTAATCAATTTTGCTTGTAATTTCCATCCTTCTCTCATCTTCACGATGTCCATCTCACTTCCTTTCTCTCCCATGATTTCACTATTTCCATTTCTGGTCATAGGCAGTCCACCAGTATCCATTACAAGCCCACCATCTCCCTTTATCTTGACTACACCCACCTCACATCCTACTTCTTGCAGGTTTTCTGTCTATTCTCCCAGTTTCTCAGCCCTGTTGCATCTGTTCCAATGATGTCACCTTCCTCCAGCAATGACAACTATTTCCTCAGCTGAGAATTCTGCTCTACTGTAGGTGATAGGGCCCTCAGCCATATCTGACCCATCTCCTGCTCTTCTACCTTCACCCCTTTCCAGAACAGCATTCCCCTTGTTCTCGCTTTCTATCTAACCAGTCTCCACGTTCAAAGTATCCAGCCAGATATCACAACTGAATGCATCTTCATCTCCCCTCCACTGTTAGCTTTCCACAGCGACCAGTTTCTCTCCAACACCGTGGTTCAATCTCCCATTGACACCATCACTTGCCCATTCACAATCCCCATCCTTACTGTCCAAGGTCCCAAACACACCCTCTAGGTGAAGCAGCACTTTACTTGTACTCCTTTCAATCTAATCTACAATGTTTGCTGTGCTTAATGCAGTCTCCTTTACATAGGTGAGACCAAACACAGACTGTGTAACTGCTTTGCAGAATACCTCTGCTCTGTCTGTCGGAATGAATCAAACTTCCAAGTCGTTTCAAGAAACTACCTTGCTCTCATTCGGATATTTCTGTCCTGGCTCAGCTGCTATGTTCAAATGAAGCACAATGTGAGCTCAAGGAACAACCTCTAATTTTCCACTTAGGCACATTACAAGCTTGAAGATTCAAAATTGAATTCCACAACTCAAGAGCCTGACTGCATGATGTCTGTTCTCTAGTTTTCTTGGAATTTTTAAAATTTAACCTATTTTTCTAATCAACCTGTTCAGGGTGGTTATTAAACATCTCTGGAGCAGATGGGTCTTGAACCCAGGTCTTCTTATCCAGTGGTATGGATGCTACCACTGCACCACAAGAAGGCTCTTGTTTTTACTTTGTAAGCTCACCATAGAAGTAATTAAATGGAAAAACTAAACAAGTAATAATTAACAATCACTTGAACTCAGCTTTATTTCTTGTAAACCTACCTGCATCCTGCTCCTATGATGCTGCTTGGCCTGCTGTGTTCATCCAGCTCTACATCTTGTTATCTCAGATTCTCCAGCATCTGCAGTTCCTACTATCTCTGCAAATCACCCATTTCACCAATTGCAATAACAAGTTATAAGGAGGCTCAATGGACCCAAAACGTTGACTTTGCTTTCTCTCAACAGATGCTGTCAGACCTGAATTTCTCCAGAAATTTTTGTCTTTGTTACTAGAATTGCTATCCATGTAGTCTTTTGCCTTTCAGACGTACAACAGTAATTCTAGCCACTGCCAAGTTCTGAATGGTGACACTTGTGGTAGATATGTTCGTCTCAGACACACATGGCATATTCATGATTTCTCATATCTCACTGGCTATACTTTTCACTCGGCTGAGTGAACCTGACATATTTTGACTGTGCTATTGTGTTTACTGCAAGAAGAGTAGCTCACTAGATACCCACCAACCAGCTCCTTCTGCTGCAAAGTAAGAGCCTCCTCTTACTTTGTGAAGTGAAGGACCTCCTCCCTCCTTTACCTAACCCAGCATTCACCAAACTCATTGGCTCGCAGTAGGTCCTGTTAACTCTTACATTCAAATGTAAGGAATAGTGATTACAGCTCTCTGGTACAGTCTTTCCATTCCTCTCTTAAAAACACAATAGCATATGACTGTAAATATCAGTTACATAGTAGTTACATTGGACTATAATTACATCTTCATTCCCATTATTCTTCACTGGGGTAGGATTCAAACCTGGAGGCTCTGGCTCAGAGGCAGTGATGTGACCCATTGTACCATAGATTGCTGATAGAGAGTCAACTTTCATCAAGCTTTTCAGTTCTGGCCATATGCTGAAACATTTGCAAGCATCATTAGCCAGACTTGCTGAGTAGATGATATATCTCAGCCTCCCCTCTGTAGTCCCCAGCATCATCGATGCAAGCCTTCAGCCAGTTCAGCTCATTCCACATGATATGAAGAAATGCCTGAAGGCACTGGATACTGAAAAGCTATGGAGTGTCCAGTTCTGGTCACCTCATTACAGGAAAGATGTGGAAGCGTCAGAAAAGGTGCAGAGGAGATTTACCAGGATGTTGCCTGGAATGGAGGGAAGGTCTTACCAGGAAAGGTTGAGAGAGCTATGGCTTTTCTCTTTAGAACGACAAAGGATGAGAGGTGACTTGATAGAGGTGTACAAAATGATCAGAGGTATAGATAGAGTAGACAGCCAGAGACTTTTTCCTAGGGTGGAGGTAGCTTTTACAAGGGGACATAATTTTAAAGTGAAAGGAGGTAGATATCTGGGAGACGTCAGAGGTAGGTTCTTTACTCAGAGAGTGGTAGTGGCGTGGAACGCATTGCCGGAGAGGGTAGTGGAGTCGGCCTCATTAGGAGCATTTAAGCGGCTATTAGATTGGCATATGGATGATAGTATAAGGTAGCGGTGAAGGTTAGATAGACCTTAGGTTTAGGGTAAAAGTTCGGCACAACATTGTGGGCCAAACGGCCTGTACTGTTCTATGTTCTATGTTCTATGTCCTATGGATCCTGACCACACTCCAGTAATAGTACTGAAGATTAGTTCTGCAGAAATAGCTGCACCCCTAGCTGAGCTGTTTTACTACAGCTACAAAACTGGCATTTACCCAACAATGTGGAAAATTGCTTGGGTATTCCCTGTCCACGAAAAGCAGGATAAATCCAACCTAGTCAATTAGTGTCTCAATACCCTACTCTCAATCATCAAGGTAATGTAAGAGATCATCGACAGTGCTATCAAGTGACACTTACTCAAAATAACTTGCTCACTGATGCTCGATTTGGGTTCTGCCATGCTCACTCAGCTCCTGACCTCATTACAGCTTTGGTCCAAACAAGGAGAACTCACGAGGGGAACTGAGGGTGACTGCCTTTGACATCAAGGCAGCATTTGACTGTAGCATCAGGGAGCCCTCAAAACTGGAGTTAATAGGAATCAGCAAGAAGACTCACTCTATTTGGAACCTTTCCTAGGACAAAGAAAGATGGGATGTTGAGGTGCCGGCGTTGGACTGGGGTGGACAAAGTCAGAAGTCACGTGACACCAGGTTTATTTGAAATCACAAGCTTTCAAAGCACTGCTCCTTCATCAGGTGAAGTGGAGGGAAGCACACAGGCACAGAATTTATAGGAGGAGAGATCATTGCAAGATAATTCTAGGTAATTAAGAGTGTCAAAAGATAGTACAAATCATGTGAGTGGAGTGTCGACAGGCTGAATAACAACTCTTTGCAGGTGATCAAAAGTATTGGACAGTGTGAGTCAAGTGTTAATAGCTAAATAGGTCATCCCTTCACTTGCTATTCAGCTATTGACACTACTCACATCGTTTGACACTTTTGATCACCTACAAAGGAAGAT